GCCCACACTCACACAAGATTTGCGTATTTCAAATTTTGCCTACATGGATTGAATGAATTCTAATGGAGTGCTCTCAATTAAAATTTTGATGAATTTTAAAAGATTATAAATTCTAATGAATTTCGTGAATTTAAATAGATTCATAAGAATCTCATCAAGAATGGTGAAATTTCAAAATATTTTGTTATATGTATTTTTAAGCTTAAAATACATCACAATCCATCTATTGATAGTTATTGAGAATACCCAAATTTTAAAGAATTTTATTAAAATCTTAGTTGGGAACACTTAAATTTTAATGGATTTCATTAAAATCTATTAAAATATCAATTGAAGACACCCAAATTTAAAATCCATCAAAAATTCAGTTGAGGACACCCGCAAAAGATATACAAAAGTATTTGCTCAAAATGACTCTTTAATAGTAATTATTACGAAAATACGCGATTCCAAAATTCTTTAGTAAGATCTCTTCTTTTTGGTTGAATTTTTTTATATTAGATGCTCAAGATTAAAATTGGAATCGAAATAATATTTTTGGGATTGTCAAACAACCCCTACAACAAAAAAAGTGGGACTTTTGTGCAAGTAAGAATGGATTGGAATAGAGAATTCCATGGTTGGACCACCGTTTCAATTAGCTCTTAAATTGTTCTAAGGATTTGTATGGAAACAAAATTACAACTTATCCAAAAGTCAAAACTTTAATTAGAGGTAGCAAGTGGACGGCGGGATAAGGTATTCTAAGCCTCTCCAAAATAAAATATACAAGTAGTTGTAAAAGATATTCCGATATTAAAAATTTTGTTCAAGTCAACTTTTTTTGAATGCCCGCTCTTAAATTTAGTGAATGGGTCACTCAAATGATGGTTGTTGAATATTTTATGATATATTGCTTCCTCCTCACTTGTTACCAATTGATTTTCAGATGAAGAGGTTAAACTTCGATTTAACAAATTTTATCAGAGTTAGGGTCATGGTTCGAACCACGAGAGCATCACGTTAAGGGATACAGTGTGGCTCTTGAACCTAGGTATCGGGTATCGAATGCCATATAATGTGGAGCTTTACTTCATTTAACACCAATTGATTTTCGTTTGTATAAAATCTTTATGGTGCAAAATAAAATTTGGCAAAATATAAGTGGCACTTTGACAAGATATATTAAATTTATGGGCCAATGTGACATGACAAGATAAGGGTATATGTGGAACAAAGGAACGTACATGATCATAAAGGATTGAGAAGGACCCTCAACAGCTTTTAAATATATTCTTCAACTTGAAAGAGACTTGACTCTTTGTGAGTGTCTTCTTATCACCAATTCTTCCATCGTGGGCAGTACTAAATCCCTCTTCATTTCATCTATTAATACATGGTGTTTTGGCTCCAAATGTATTTTTTCTATGCAGACATAACAAGTAAATAGTATTGAACATAGTATTGGTTATGACCGTACAGTATTGAACATATTTGGTATTTAGTACTAGATATGGTCAAACAATATTTATTATATTTGATATGCAGTACTCAATATGATCGTATGGTGAACTCGACAAGATTTTTTATTCTTTTTTCTCTTTTAATATTATGAAATACTCTCTAATGTTCTTTAACAAAAAAAAAATGTTGCCCAAGTCAATTTGAACGATGAAAACCTGGCAAAAACAGAACAAAGTTGCAAACATGCAGTCTAAGTAGAAAATTTTACTGCTTAGACATTGATGGAGTTTGGCAAAATCCATTGTGTACTATATTAATAATCAAATAAAGTCGAGGTTGGGTTTGAGAACTATGATTTTAGATTGTTTTCTAGTGAAGAATGGTGTCTCAGGTATTTTAATAATAACGGATAGACTTCATGTGCATTTATAGACAAAAATTTGACTTACAAGCAACTGCAATTTTGTAGGGATTCCTGACTTAATTTCAGATTCACCTCCGGATCTTTATTTAGCCCTTGTTTGGTTTTGCTTTGGTCAGATTTTTAATAAATTTTGATATAAAATAATAAAATGTATGATTGAGAGTTGATAAAAATTAAGAGTCTTGTGAAATATGATTAAAATTAATTATTGATTTTCACTTAAATTTTTATCGATTTTTTTAGTTAATTCAAGAAGGAGAAGAGAGAGAGAATTAAGATATAAAAGATTTAGAGAAATGATATTTGTACTGAGCGGGGACTACCGAATTGTGTGCCCCCTCTCACATGATTTACGGGCCTCGCGCGCATTAAAAAATGCCGAGCTAAGGCCCCACCCCCCCGATGCGAGAGGGGGGACACCATTCGGTAATCCTCCCTCAGTACATGTAGCACGGCCCATGTGAATAGAAGAGAAACCACAGGCTTTAAAGGCAGATATGCATCTATTATGTGAAATTTGGCTATAGTTAAACCCTCTCTCTAACATTCCGAATTCGTAGCTCTTTTCTTCTTTCTTTTTCCTTCTAATTTTTGTTCTATGTGAGACTACTACACAATTAGTTGCAAAAAATCTTCCATTACGAGGAGTGAAGTTCCAACAAATTTGTACTTTTGTACTCGTTTTTCGCAACATGTTTAAAGATATTGACTTAAAATAGAAATACCTCTCAATAGCCTTTATTTTAATTTATCTTATAATACACAAAAGAATTTGAGCTTTTTCACTACTACTTGATAGGACAAGAACGATAAAAGTTGAATAGCGATCCTATTAGTGAAGCAAAATCAATAAAAATAACGTATTGACTTTCATTCCGAGGTCCCTCGACATGTCATTGGCCAAATTAAACACGTTGTCATTCTCCTTGTACATTGTTTGCTTGCAACGAGCTAACTGGTTTCTGTGCGGACTGGTTGACGTGTTGTTGATAGAGAGCTTCCATTTTCTTGTAGAAATCCATGTTCATTGATTGCTAGAACAAAAAGTAAGAATCAATAATCAACGAAAAGAGAGCATTCAAAACGTTCTATAAAAATAGTAGACAATTTACTCACTTACTTGAGCTAGAAATGTGCAGTATGCATCGTTAAAAGGAAGTGAAGTGTTGGAGGGAGTCGGAGGGGGGATCGTCTGAGGCATAGCGAAGGGAGGTGGTGGCACAAACTGTGGAGCAGCTCCCGAAAGAGGAGGTGAATGGATATAGGAAGGAAGCAATTGAGGCATAGTTCGAGCCAAATTATTCATCCCGAGCATTCCCATTCCCATACCCATTCCCATACGTGCCAAGAGAGACATTTGTAGATGTTGCTGGATTCCTAAAGGCATCATCATTTGTGGAATATTGGTTCTTGCACTCATCATTTGAACTTGTGCTTGAAGTTGTTTTAAGTATGCAATCACCTCATCAAGCATTGATGCTTTATCAGTCTGCATATATAATGAGACGCTCACATAAAAACATTAATCAAGATGCACGTCCCTCCCAGGCTGAATTTTGTAACGATTATGGACTTCCTCCATCTTTCCCTTTTTCGTTCATTTGGCTCAGGGGTGCAGACTTCTCATCCGTACTGTCCACTGATGGTTGTGCCCCAATGGGGACTTATTTCGCGTCCCCTAAGCAAAAGCCTTGTAGGGGGAAGTCCATGGTCGTTATAAATTTATTCTTTTCACCAAAAATCTGACATGTGAAACTTCGTAACTTACCTTACTTGCATTGGGCACCAATTTTTGAAGAGCCTTCATCTTCTGATTGATCCTATCTCTACGTCTCTACACGAATACATCATATTTCTATCAGTGGTTTTAAAGAGAATTTCTTTAATATTAATATTTTCGTGATGATGCTAACCCATCCCCCCACCCCTTTAAAAGAAGAGTGGACACTTTTGTGAAGCGAAACCTTAGTGGAAATGTTTGGTACATGGTATTGAATAGTTGAGATCATACCCGTTCTGACTGATTATGTGTGGCAGCAGCTCGACTATGTTTTCCTGATGATTGCGATTGAGTAGTTTCCCAGTTGTTCCCACGTTCTTCATCCTGTTTTTCCTGCCGTAATTTACTACAATTAAAGCAGGCTGAGAGAATAACTCGAAAAAAGAATGAAGAGCTGCTTCTTGTCTTTTTCCATTGCTTAGATTACTATATTTTCTCGTTATTTCTTTGTTTAGATTTGACTTACGGGGCAATATGTAAAAGCAGAAAGACTTGTAATTGTGAAATGATTAGAATATCTAGTCAAGGAAGGCGATAGCTCACTATAATCGGGGTCATGTGAGTGAAAGCTATGAGACTAGTTCCTACAGAGATTCCCCTAGTCTGATTCTATGCCTAATGGTGAAAGTGGAGCTTGGCTAAAGTGAAGATTCGGAGAGCCCAGAAAATTCCGGCATATAAGTAGGATTGGACCAGACTAGCTATAAGAAAATAAAGCTACAATTTTGTTAATTGTGTTGTTTAGTCGTGTTCAACGCTGTGTAACCAAAACATGCTTCAAGATTAGTACAAGTTCATCCTACAAAATCAAGATTTTTTCTAACCGAGCCAGCTTGAAAAGCTGAATCTTCATCTCCATTTCTTGTACTCTTGAAGCTTTGAGGGGGTTCAAAGGAAGCCCAAGTCATCATAGTTGTGTCAGTATCCATACAAAAGGTTGCACTTGCACTAGCACATCCACTGGCTTCTCCCCCTTGATCTTCCTCAGAATACCTTCCACAATTTTGTTCCGAATCTGATCTTGTCCTTTTCTTCGCTAAACCTGCCGGGCGGACATGGCAAGTTGAAGATGCAGCCATATGGCCTGAGCTTTTGCTCCATTTGCCACCAGAAGACGCAGCTATCGAACTTAAATTTGCCTCCTTTTGTTTCAACTGCGTGTCAACTGATGAACTCTTGGGCCATTTTCCACCCCAAGGTGCAGCCAACGAGCTCAAATTTGCCTCGTTCTTATTAGGCCTGTCACGTGTGGCTTGATCGACTATGCATTCTAACGTATCACCACCGGTCCTAACCCGAACAGGAGACGGAACCATGCCACCAAGATCATGCATAGCTAACTGTCCATTTTCCCATGTTAACTCTGCTACTTCATAACTAGACCTGAACTCCAACATACACAAAAATTAGTTTTTTGTTTCCTCCCAGATTATGGGAATACGGATAAATCAGACTATGAAACATATAATTGATAAGAAACATAGGATTCAAGGGAAATTATAGGATAAGTACAGTGCATACATAGGGACATGATCACGTGTTGTCTTCCCTTCTTCTTCTTCTACTTGTTCTTGTCTTTGGTGCCTTTGATTCCATTTGGGTACTATACAATGATTCATAGTGTCTCAGAGACTCTTTCTCCTCTCTCTACAAATGAACATGAACTGAGGAAGATTTATATTCTGTTTACTGTAAATTTCTGGTCCCCTTAGAGTCTCACTTTCAATTGATAGAGTTTTGTCACAAAACAAGTGGTGGCAAGGGATTATAAGAGAATATAGGATTAGTTTAGAATCCTTTTTGGGGAAATTTCAACTGCTCTTTGTACTTCCAATGAAATCTTAATTGAATTACTAACTGAGTCACTAAATATGTTACATTTCGTCACGTATCGTTCCTCAAACTGGCGGAATTTGCTTATTTGTAGTCATATTATAATTGATCTTCCACATAAGCACTAGATGGAACCCTAGAAATAAAAATGGTAAAATGGTGCTACGAATATGTTAGATTAAAAGGGAAGAATGCGTGTTTTTTCTTTTATTAGGCAGTGGTAGTTAGCATATCACTTAGTAGTTACCGGAAAGATTCGTTGCTTTTTGGCTACAATTAAGCAATTTTTATCAATTTGGATATGACGGATAGTAATTTTGAAATTTGACTTAAAGTTGAAGTCGAGTGACTTAACTGAAACTAAATTGAAGTTGAGTGATCCAATTGAAACAAATTAAAATCTAATAACCCAATTGAGAGTTCGTTGAAAGTTCAATGACCGTAGATGAAATTAATTTCACTCCTTCTTCACATCATCTTATGTTGACTTTCAAAAAACCCCGTCACATGAACAAAAAAAGTCACTTAAAATTAACTTTTACAATTGGTCAAAAATGGAATCTTGAGTACGCAGTTTCATTTTGGTATTACTTTCATGTTGCTTATAATATTAGGAATTGTTCTTTATTCGTTCTATTATTACTACTAGTTCATAACATCTCAAAACTCGTTCTCATCCATTTATTAAAGTTGATCGTTTTTGGGTATTAAAAAAAAGGTGATCGAACAAAAAATTTTAGAAGATGATTCGTCTAAATTTTAGAAAAATTAAACTAAAAGCGAAAAAAAAAAAAAAAAACCGGTGGCAGAATATATAGCAGCCCCACATGAGAATAGAAGCTTGTGGCCTCCTACCTAACAAGTGGGAAACAACTGGTTCATAGTGAAGGAGAGGAAGGACAATAAATGAAACGAGATATGACTGCTAGATCATCACGTACAACTTGTAAGGACCATACATTGATCCCCATATCTTTGAAACACCAATGAAAATTCATATCTTCACCCAATATTCAAACTCCAAGGAAATTTTCGAGACTGTAGCGTTATGGATTAGATGCTTAATCCTGTATTATACAAAAATCAGTATTTGGTGATAGTCAGTGGGGGAAAAAAAATAGGTGTACAAATATATAAAGTTGAGATACTAGAGTAGGATCTCATCTTGCTGACGTCGCACCAACATTTTCACACACATGTGCTCGTTAAGATGGTAGGATATCGATAAGGAAGATCGCAGAAATAAGGAGCCAATTTAGCAAGTAATTTCTTGTTGAGGCAAAGTAGATTGGACACTGACTCGGATGCTTGAGTGGCCGCTTGACCTTGTGTGGTGCCAATAATTCCTTTGGTCAATCAAAATCTCTTAGTGGTGCGGTTGACCTCCTTTAAGATTGACCAGTCCTTGGCAATGGGCTCGCCACCCTTCTTGGTGGTTTGGTCGACTTGACCGTGCCTCTTTTCGGGCTTGGTTGAATGGCCTTCATGGCCTATGAGGCCACCTCTGGCTTTTTGGGTACTGAAAATCGAGGCCTCTTGGCCTTCCACCACTTTTGTGATTTAGACCTAGTAAAAGTTTTTGTTGGATCATGGCGGCCTGTAAAACGTTTGTACATAATGCTGGCATCATTTACAATGTTGTATACTCTCTGTTGATCCCAAAAAATGAGTTCAACTGATGTCAGGCCCACTCTTGTCACGTCAAGTACGGATCCAGCGCATTTCTACCTAGACATGAAGAGTAGTCTAGTTGGAATGGATGCGGGAGGCACTTTCCGGCAAGAGACACAAATGTTCGGAATCCGGCAATTTGATTTCGACGGCACTTGCACTATTAACCAAAGTCCGATCGATCTTCCCAAACTAACTCTCCCTTTTGTAATGTATGTGGAAGGATATATATGAAAATATGGATTGTTTGGTGTTGGAATCTCAATATCTCTTTTCCGTTCGTGTTTTTGAGATGTATATAGGACAAGGCATGTAAATCTTCTTCCGTTTTCCTTTTCGGTTATACAGATACTCTCTCCTTTTTTTCTATACAAAAAGATGCTAGTTATACTAATCTGGCCGACGTGGACACCGTTGGATCAGATCCACATGGCTGAAGCCTCACATCGCCGTCAACTCTTTACAATTAATGTTTGGCGGAAAGTCTGTCGTTCTAATTGTACGCTGACAAATTGACACGCTCTATTGCAGATGTCACATCAATCACTTCTAAAAGATCTCTAAATCTGTAATGGGAAGTAGCGTCGGCTTCAGTTTGGATTGAGGTTAGCCTCTGTTGGAAGACTTCTGACGCTTTAGGGTTTCAGACAGCTTAGAGGAACCTCTGATCCATACGTGAGAGCTTCGGTATTTTCATAAAAGGGGCCTCGGAGAGAACTCTTGCTTGGCACTAAAGGACCTCGGAAATTAAAGACCTTGGACACCTGCTCCTTTCTTTGACTTTGACTTAGTACGTCACATCTCCTGACTTTCCAGCTAAGCGCTTGCATGGTCATCCACGCTGACTGATGCTTACGTGGTAGTCTACGTGGGGATCTTATCTGGGACTTCGGATTTGAGGGTAACACTCTCTACCCAAAAAATGAAAAAGAGATTCGAAAAATTAAATCCGCACCAATTATTAGGTCGATCTGTGATTGAGGAAAAAAGTGTACACTGCACTTGGCCTCACTCATCCAACAAATAATAACAAGTACAAATCTTAATTGAGTCATTGAAATGAGAGAGACCGCTATAGAAAAGATAAAAACGAACACAAAATGACAAATCATTTATCAATAACTCTGAGAAACCATTAATTACTTGGGAAAAAGCAAAGCCATTGACGAATGTTTGTCACTTAAAACTGCAAGCGCACAACATCAAAGACAAGAAATAATAATATATATATGAGTTCAATGTCGATTTCACGAAGATTATGTATTTATAATTGAATTTTAACTAAAGGAATTTCAATATGCAAATTTGCTTGATTGGGTTTGACTAAAATTACTACAAATTATTTAAACGGCTTTCGATAATTTTGGTGAAAAATAAAGTTTATGAAGGCACTAGGACTCCAACTCCGCATATATTTTTTACTTTAATCCCCATTTCACATAATTGATAGTACATAGTTTATATTGGAAAATGTTAGAATTTGGGTGTGACCCGAATTCCTTGTTGAAGTAATTGAAAAATTCTAATTGAAGTGCACGTTATGAAAAATTCAAATTTGGAATATTATTGGAATCCTATGTCATGTTGAAGTTCTATTTTGGAAATCCATTGGAAGTTGAAATTTGTTTTGGACTCAATTTTAAGGTATCCTACTTCATCAACAACACTACTAAGTGGGTTTGGACATCCCTTACTTATTCCCTATAAATACTAAACTCTTCTATACAACTTTATAAGGTGAGAAAATAGATTACTGAAATTATAGGATCTGTTGTAATTTTCCCTCTTCTCCATTATTCTTGAGTCAATAAAATCTCTTAATTCATCTGTCATATTCTTGTATTCTTTATTCTTTTGCTTGATCAAATAGTTTATTATTATATGCCATATAACTTCAACATCTCAATCCGATGGTTTGTTTCACAACAATGTATAAGAGTAATTCTGGTATCTTGATTGTTTTACAACAATTGGTATCAGAGCCCCATGTTCAACAGTTCCGCAAGAGCACAAAGTTTGATTTGTTCAAGATTTTTTATTCACGATGTCTTTAATGAAGTATGATATTCCGATTTTGGATCAAAATACTAGATTTTCGCTATGGCAGGTTAAGATGTGTGCAGTACTCGCATAACTGGATTTGGATAACATGTTGCTGGGAATTGACAAGATGCCCGCAACTTTAACCGTGGAGGAGAAATTACGGAAGGATAAAAATGTAGTTTCTCACATTCATCTTTATTTATCAAATATTATTTTTCAGGATGTTTTGAAGGAGAATTCAGCAGCTGCTTTACGGTTAAGGTTAAAACAATTGTACATGACTAAAAGTCTGACAAGCAAGTTGAACCTTAAGCAGCGTTTATACTCTCATCAAATGGCAGAAGGAGGATCATTAGAAGATCACCTAACTGTATTTAAGGAGATCGTCACTGATTTAGAAACTTTGGAAGTAGAGTATGACGAAAAAGAATTGGCCTTGATCCTATTGTGTTCGTTACTTGCTTCGTTTTCTTCTTTTAGAGACACGATTTTTTACAGTCGTGATACTCTTACCATAGAGGAAGTATATGATACTTTGTATTCAAAATAGAAGATTAAACATCTGGTTTCTGAGGCCAGAGATGGAGAAGGTCTGGTTGTTCATGGTAGTTCTGGAATGGGCAGATCGAAATCTAAGTTCAGTAATCAAATTTATAACTACTGTAAGAAGAAGTGGCACTTCAAGAAAGATTGTTACAAATTGTAGAATAAAGAAAGGATGACTGCAAGTAAATATTCATATACTTCAGGCGAAGCAGGCCTCGTGGAGAATGTTGTAAGTGATGGAAAACTCTTATTTCTGACATTGAGTCTAAACCGGAAGATGATTGGATTCTTGATTCCGCATGTATGTTTCATATGTGTGCTACTAAGGACTTGTTTGCTTCATATGAAACTGTTTCCAAAGGTGTCGTGGTTATAGGAAACAATGCATCTTGTCGGGTTGCTAGAATCGGCACAGTCAGATTGAAGCTTTTGAATGGGACAATTAGAATATTTGGCCAGGTTCGACATGTTCCAGATTTGAAGAAAAATCTCATCTCGTTGTCTATCCTTGATTTAAAAGGCTATG